TTCGTACTTGCAAGTTATTAGATTCTGCACCAGCATCAGTTGTTGTGCAATATGCTCCAATGACCTTTGATGGGAAGTTGGGTAGACCACTAGAATGTCGCGGGGCGAGTATTACTAACTTAAACAATTTGATGTAAAGAAATTTTTTACGTATATAACGAACGAAAGAACTACACTTCTTGGCTAATCTACTTGTGCTATTCATATGTTACAATCCATTTTTGTCCAAATATAAATATTGACACGTCTTTATTGTGGTGAATTTATAATTATTACTATGCTATTCTGTTCACTTAAGAACACGTCCATTCAAGAGATCACGTCCACTTACAGGATACGTCTCCATTTGGTAATGAAATAAAAGGGGGCCGCAGTTTTTTGTTGTGTTTTTTTCAGGTATTTAATTTTTCAGTAGAGGTTTACTGTAGTTAAGACTTGAAACGTGCCAGTTCAGGTAAATAATACTGGTTATGGAGCATGAATTGGGCACGACCAGTAATGCAGTGCACAGTTGGAACCAGAGGGCCTACAATCGCATGAATATTCGTTGTAATTTGGCGGCGATTGCATTCGTACGTCCAAGTTAGATTCTGCATTAGTGTCAGTTGTTGTGCAATATGCTCCAATGACCTTTGTATTCTGTGAAAATAATAAAAAAAAAAAAATGAAAAATACCCTGTTAAAGATAATTCAGCTGTAAGGCATGCACATAGCATCTCTGCTTTTGGTATCAGGGTCTGGGGTCTGGAGTCCCCTCTTTCCCCACGCAACCACCAGAGAGCTTGCAAGCAGGCTATGTAGTATGAGCTTGGACTGACCAACATCGGTTAGATTGAAACTAAAATTTAGTGAGCAATTATTGCTTAAGAAAACAGATATTACACGCTCGTAAACTATATTACCTGAGTATCAGCAATGCTAACAGGTGATGTTTGCTCTTTTATTTTAGGCTGGCACCAACTGAAGTTACCGATCCCTCTTGGTCCTGGATCACCTTTATCTCCTTGAATTCCTGGGGGACCCGTGTCGCCCTGCAGTCCCTTGATTCCCTTATCCCCGGACGCTCCCTGGTTGCCATTTTTGCCTGGAAAGCCTGGATCTCCTTTCATTCCTTTGTCCCCTTTTGCTCCGGTAATTCCTTGTATCCCCATGGGGCCCTTTGGCCCGGCGGGTCCCGTATCTCCTGTTGGACCTCTGAAACCGTTTTGTCCTTTCTCGCCGGTTGGCCCAGGTTCAGCAATTCTAATTGATACCTAGAAAAACATGGTTTCTAAAAAATCGTGATTGATATGAAACATTGCCTTCAAATGTTGTTTGGCCGAATAAAATTGAAAGACGTCCAGTAAGGCTTTAGAACGGGGCAAAACACTACCGGCTTCAGCGCGGCGGATCCTTAAACAAAAAGCTCTACTTCTCCAGTTAATGATCCAACTGAAACCACCAGCTATATTAATATAGCTGGCCAATATTGACCAATATTGGCCTCTAAAAAGCCGTGATATATTCCCCTTAACTTCCAATTTGCCACGACTTTGGAAACGAGACGGGAACTGGAGCCGAAATGATCCCCGCAATTGTTTCTGGGATAGTTGCTGGGGACGCGCTGGTCAGCTATTGGCCAATTTTCCCCCTGTCCTTAGTAACGGTACCAGAAGTCTTTGCGGGAAATAATCTTGTCCCAGTTTCCCACTCGTTTTTAAAGTGGCGAATTAACAGCTGATCAGTCTACCAACCTTTTCAGCGATAGTATTGTTCACATTTTGGATAGCATCGTCGATGACGTCATTATACTGCTGGTAAGTTTGCTTCATCTCTGCCAACTGCAAGATCAGTTTAAATGGACTCAAATCAATCCATGTACTTTATTTCACAAACCAGCAATGCATGCAACCGACTTTGGTAGAACATTTGCATACGATTCAGGTCACTGGATAGGCTTAATGTATTACGTACCTCGTTTGTAAACGTGATATTTAATGCTTGAAGTTGACCAGACACTGGCCCATTGTCATGGCTAAACTGCTGCAAAGAATTATTGACCTGCAAACAGATACACCCAAAAGCAAGTTGGAGAGCACTTTTAGCGACTTGCAAACTTTTAATTCAGCACATTTGCAAGTTCACTTTTCGCACCAGCTACATGTGAAAATATTCTCCTAAGCCCCTGATAAAACGTGAGGATTGGATGTATTAGGATCTAACGAGCAGCTGAATATTAGAATTCCTTCTAAGAGTGACAAGCCCGGGGGGAGGACTCCCATTTGAAAGGGGCGGGGATGCTCGTCGGAAATTTTGAATTAAACCCCTAAAGGAAACCAATCTGGGCGTGGCCCTAACTTTTTTTGACCCCTAAAAGCGATCATTTGAAACTTTGTTTACATGAATTGAGTAAATAAAACAAGTTGAAAATTTATAGTTTTTTAATATTTCTTCGAATGCAGCCCTATAAGGGACCTTTACGGCTAAATATAATGGTGTTTTACCCAGAACACCCTAAGCGAGACCAAAATCTGAAATTTACACCCCTAAGCGAGATGACGAGCATCCCCGCCCAATTCTTATGGGAGTCCCCCCCCCCAACCCCCCCCCTCCCGGGGTGACAAGCAAATTGAAAAACAAAAATGTTTCACTCAAGACCGATAATATAGATAGCATAATTTAAACTCAAGGCGTCATCTAAATACAACAAGGCTTACATTGTTAACCACAGCATAGAACGTATTGTAAAACTGTGTAATCTCGTGTCTTGTGAAACTGAACTTTGTTTTGGCTGCCAGAAGCGTATCCGTGTTCCCTTCTGATTGTTGAAGTAGCGATTCCTTCACAGAAAAAAAAAAATTGGTTTACCACTTTTAACAGAGGAACAAATAAGGCGTTTCATAACGTCTATATCATATTTATTATGCAGAATGTATATAGACTCCGACTTTACCACCTCCATCAACACCTCCCCACCCCTCGTCAACTAACTCATTCCGCCGGTTTTGATGGCCAATATTTTCTCAGCAAATATCGCTTATATCTCTGATTATTGAGCAAGATAATTTGAAGATTAATTATTTTAACCAAAGTTTCTAATTGGACTGCTAGCAATCTCTCAGGATTATCGCACCCGAGCAGAGCATCTTACAAGCAACGAGCTACGAACAACAATCCCGACCAGTCACCGAGCGACAAACACAGGAGGACCAAAGGTTCTCACGTACAGCAAGCCACTCGGCAACAATGCAATCCATCACTGCGAGCGATATTCATGCAGCCCGGTAGGCTGAGAGAGAATTCGCAATATTAACCAGTGTTGGGCGCACATTGAGGTGTTATCGTGCAAAATCATATTAGCATCAGTGTTGTATGCCTGCACTCAAATTCCTTCGAATGACGTCTTAACCAGCAAATCGTGGCTCTGACTTAAAGTTTGTGGATAAAAGCCTAAAGAAAATCTGCTCTAGTCTAAGTACGCGTCAAAAATAGAATTCAGATTTGTCGACTTACTGCTTCTTGACGAAGAGACGAAATATTAGCTTGCAAATCCTCCAAGATGTCGAAAAATGGAGAGAAGTCCATGTTAAACGTATTTTTGGAAGACGTATCTGTTTCATTCTGTTCGTTTTGCTCTTCAGAAGATTGTCTACCCACTTTTGGTGAAGTTCCTAGAGTTGAAAATCAAATCGATCGTTAGTCTTTTAAGTTCCTACAGTGACCATACTGTTTATTTCATTAATTGCTTATTTATTTTTTGGATCAGTATACGTTTCTGGGAAACTGCCCACCTACCCCTCGCTTAAGCCAACATTTTGCTATTTGTTCTAGCCGGTGATGAGTATACTGGGGTCTTGAAACCAGTCCGGGGGTTTATGCAATCCACGTTTTCTCGCGCTTTACCAAGTACAGCGTCGGCAGTACATGCACCTGAGCAAGGAGCAACTGTGGAGTTCCATATTGAAATAAATTAAAACTGCAGAAAATGCTGAAAATATCGAAAACGTCTTTTGAAACTACACGTATAAGTTAAGGGTTAAGACATAGCCCAGATTCTTTCAGCTATTTCCCGTTAAAGACACAGTATCTAACAAATTCTGTTTGACTCTTAAAAGTGGGCAAAGAATCGAGAAAAATTTTCATAATTAGCCATATAAAAAACATGCCACTTATAATTGACGTCAATCTATATATTCAATACATGTATTCGTTGGTTCGATGGTGAGTCATGTGCGCTCCTCTAACCACCACACACTTCCCCACAAAGCCATTTATTTCCGTCAGCCTTTTTCCTCTTAAAATTTTATAACTTTAGAAGATATTTTGAAACTTAAGAATGTGAAAATTAAAAAAAAAGGGGGGACTGAACAAATGATGGCCTTTGCGGCAAGTGGACACGGCTGAAAGTTAACTGGTGATTCGTTAAACGTACCAGTGAAATGATGCTGAACATTATTAAACGGGCTTTCCAGCGCCCCACAGCTCATCACGGTGAAAGGAAGTTAATTATTTAAGTCGAATAATACCAGAATTACCAAGCTTGAAATAAATGGGGGCATCCATTTCAGAAACGAGGCGCTTTCAACTGCGGAAGAGGTAAGCTTACCTTCAGTTTCATTGCAAGCGCGACAGCGTTGGGCTGGTCCCAAAACGCCGAAGACCATAACAATAACTAAAGTCAAAGCAGCAACAGAGAAGAATAAAACAAGAAACTGAAGAAAACGATGATAGCATAGTCCGTGGCAACAGCCATGGTGCTCGAGATGGCTTTTGATTTGATATCCATCATTCAAAGTTCGTACGGTCCTTGAGCAGTTTCCCGTGACAGATTTCGGCTTTTTTCGCCGTTTTTTCTTTTCTTTTGCACTACTTTTCGAAGAATAAGCTCCGTGTTTATCTTTTGCTGTTTCACTTAAGACAACATAAGATGAGTTGGAGTCAGCGCGAGGCCTAGGAGGTAAAGCTACTTGTTGTTTTGCTTCCCAGTTGGTCTTAACAGATGGTGGGTAGTAAGCCATTCCACTTATTGTATTCACACGCACATTACGATGTAGTAACTTGACTCATCTAATTGATGTTCAATAGTCGTTGAGATGAATTACTCCTAATTTTGACCTTTTTACGTGCGCTCTGTTTTTCTTTGATATTGAAAAGGAAAGCGAAACATTTCGCTTCTATGTACGTGCTCATGATATTGAGTTAACTCTGACCAACTGAAGAATTCGAGATATGTGAAAGATCGATGCAGTTGAATACGTTTAGCGCTTATAATAGCGTCGCCATGATCATTGAATTAGCGGGCATTAAAGTTTGCAAAACAAGAAATTGGCCTGAGGGCGATCTTATCTTTCATTTAAAATGGCTTTTTTGAGCACAAACACAAAAACAATAGTGAGTTCAATGCAATGCAGTTGTTCCTTGTTTGAAAGAATAAATAAACAAGACAAGGAAAAGATCGAAAAGACAATATTTGTCCATTTACCGTTTCAAACAAGAGACAACTGCCTACTATGCAGATGTCCCGTCTTCTGGGAGTGCTCTTAAACTTTTGATAATCAAATGACCATAACTGCCCACCTACCCCTCCCCTAAACCAACATTTTGCCCTAAGTGAGAAGTAAGTGTTAATGTTGGCTTACGGGAGGGGTTGATGGACAGTTTCCCAGAAACATATACTGATGCAACATTTCTAGGGTAGGGTAATATATACTGCCTACCAGAGTCATCTTTTAGCACAAAGTCATATCCGAAAAGGAAAGAGTACTCTCGGCCCTCCCGGCGATTAAATCCGAATTGTCAGCCTGACTGAGCGGAAGATATTTCGAGAACACTAGTGATAGGAAATTTTTTGATTGATTACAGCCTGAATGTCATTGCATAATAAAGGCTGGGAGGGTCAACCTTCTGCATGGCTGATTTCGATTTAACCTTCTCTTCGAATATGGTTTTTATAGCAAGTAGCAAACTATTGGATAAACAGCTTTAACGGAGCATCCTTTTGGCATTCATTTGACAGAAGACGATCCTTAATGGCAGTAAAGACCTGATTTCCTAATCACCGTGTAGCGAAAACAAGGTCCATGTACAAGTGAACGTGTCAAAGGGTAGTTTTTTTCGAATTTTTGGTCGTGCCGCATTTCACTGCCGCCTAGTCAGGGAATAGCTAAAGTGAGAGTCTGCCCATGACCATTTTAGAATATCTTAACTGCATGATGAGCTTTAGCATCAATGTGAATCCCTGAAAAGTCACAGGAAAATTGTCAGTCTATATACTGAGAAGAGTTTTTAATTCTGGTCTCAACGCTGCCTCGGTCTTCTAATAGCTTCTAATTTCACTTCTACTTCTTATGCACGGGAAAGTCGATTGCATGCGTATGCCGTAATGTTCTGCTGCAGCATGAGCTGTACTCTTTTGGAAGATTGGAACCGTCAAAGGGCACTCGCCAGTTATGTTTGTATCCACTTTATCAACACTCAACTAATTGTCAAGTACTCCTTTTATTTCTTCTTGGACTTCTCTCTGATGTTTCTTGCCTAAACAAGCAATTTCTACTGTTCATTCTATTTATTTTCATTCTGGAGTACGTTTGACACAAAGCTTAGTTAGAATATTCTGGAAATGTTTTCAAGATATAAATCAATACGAAAGTCGATGACATGGTAATATCCAAAAAATTGCCGAGAACGGAAAGTCGAAACTAAAACAACGGCGCGTTACTTTTCCATTTATATACGAGTAGAATCAATAATTAAAACCAGGAATTAAAATTATGTTATTTGAAGGCAAAATGTTTAACAGTCAATATATCAGCTTGATTTAAATTTGCATTCAAGTACACGTTATCCATTGCCGCGATAAACATTGCCAGCTCGCTTTCAAGATACATGTACCAAAATCTGATAAAAATAACGCGCAAAAAATACTTTCTCACCTGAAGTACGGCAGCGACATTTTGGACCAACTTTCCCCATCATCAACAGAAGAACCAGCAGTAAAGCTATGATAGCCACAAGAACAATAAGAAACATCAATACAACGCGAAATATTCTTCCATTTTTCCTTTGTGTCGCGCGACCGGGTTTCTTCGGAGTTTGAGAAGTCCTTGACTGATTTTGCCCCACTACTCTGGGGTTATAAATGTCATCATATACAGCATTTTGAGTTCTTTTTGGCCTTGGATTAACTTGACGNATAAGAAACATCAATACAACGCGAAATATTCTTCCATTTTTCCTTTGTCTCGCGCGACCGGGTTTCTTCGGAGTTTGAGAAGTCCTTGACTGATTTTGCCCCACTACTCTGGGGTTATAAATGTCATCATATACAGCATTTTGAGTTCTTTTTGGCCTTGGATTAACTAGATGGTTGTCATTGCGTTGCAGTGTGTTGTAAGGATTCCCTGAATCTACATCGAGATACATTGCATTGTCAATAACGTTTAAACTTGAGTTGCTTCGTCGATCAAGGCTGATAGTACTTCCCGTGAGAGCAGGATTCAAAAGTCCCAAATTTTTGGCCATCTTTGTGTTCAAATGTTCGAGTAGATCGGTGGAAAAAGCTATTAATTTTACTCCCAGATCTGCTAGGATGCCTTGACTACATTGTGATCGAAAGCCGAAAGATTCATTCAATTTCAATAACAACTCATTTGCGTATAAAGCTGCTTTTCATTTCACGTTTGGATGCGCAAATACCATGAAATACGTAAGCTCTTTTGGAGGATGACGAGAGAATACAAGGTTTCCGCTTTGTGAGACTGGGATAGGCCCAGCTCCGTAACCAGTTTAACGCCTCCGATTTCAGACAGGCATAATTATTGCGAGATGAACTGCACGTATCGCAATATTTGAGGATTAGTTTATTTACAGTTGGCTCAGACATAAAGCACAGGTTATGTCCGCGGCCAAACATTTTAAAGTCTCCAAAAAAATTGCCAGAGGGGTTGATTCCTACCTCTAACAATTAAAGTAATTAAAGGTTAATTTACGCCACTTTCGCTTTTTTCATCTCTCTGTTTCCACACAAACCGTTCAAGCCTTTCGAGAATTCTTTCGGTGAGAAACTGCAAAATTGTACAAAAACAGATGTTAGCCGGATTACCTGTATTTGCTTATTTTCGCAATACGACAAAGAAAAACTCATTTCTACGACTAAATACAAGATAAAAGCTAATCCCCTATGTGTCAGAGATTTTCTTATGTCTGATTGGCAGTTTAAAAAGAAAGATCTGTGCGGTATTTTTTCATAAACTCGCGTTCATTTGCTATAATTTTGCCGGAAGTGAAGAGTGAAAGTGAAAACGGGTGCAGTCGACATAAGGGTGTCTCCTCACTAGCTTCCGGAAAACAATTTGCGTTTTTAACTGTTATATTGCACTCTCACTTCTGTAGTTCAATTGTTTGAATTCCTGCTCTGAAGTGTAGGCAAACTACACGTCAAAATATTAACCGGCTAAATTCTGACGGTTTATATTTAGAGGCAAACTATTTGCACAGTCGTGATGTTTTATAAGCCGTTGGGAGTAATCAACACATATAAATATCTCTCCCTTTCTGATTTTCAGGGAATAGCTTGACCAGCCCTATCGAACAGATGAAAATAATCCGAAAACACACAAAATTATCTCTTTTATTATCATAGTTACGTAGTTGTTTTCACTTATATTTTCTTTGTACCACTTTCAAGCTAACTCTAGATCTGTTTTATCCGTTGCCATCGCAACTTTTGACGACAAGAGCCAATTACCTATCATTACGCTAGCCGCTGAAGGCAGTATTTCCATAGTTATTAAGACTGGGGTAAAATTCTCTTTACATTAAAGATTCCCATTAGACTTTGGGTTTTATGATTTATATGAATAAATTATTTCTGAGCCTTACAGTTACGTAAACTGTGATACTTTCTCGTTCTATGATTGAATTTGGCTGCAAAATTATCCTAGCTACATCTGCGTGTCACGGTGTTCGTGTGAAAATAACTGGACTGAATTATCACACGTACATCGACTCTAAATTGCAGCGAATCGCCTACAAAGTGCACTGAGCACATCAAAACGACGGTGAGTTTTCATCTTCTTACGCAACTGGGTTATTCCAAAACTACGAAGATATCTCCTAAATCCACGTCTCAAAATGTTTTTTTAAAAAAATGGATTGCGCTTTCTTAGATGTTATTGATTAGAAAAAGCCCTAAATGGCAATTTATTCTCGACTTTTTTAGACCCTACTCTTCACCGATTTTAACCACCTCAGTCTCCTGCTCTTGTAATTCTCTTTTCCTCCTCTCGTATATGTCAACCGTAAATTTATCAGGAGCCATTTTGTTTTCCTTCATTTCTTCCCACACTTTTTGCAGAAGGTCTGAGTTCTCCGCGTTACGAAGTCGACGGCCATAAACTATCATGTCCATGCGTTCTTTAGACATCATCTTGCAGCCATCCGTAAAACAGATATCGCTTGCCTTGCCGTAATTAAGCGCAGGAAAAAACACCAAACCTGAATATCGTTCTAAATCTTCGAGTGGAACTTGAAAATCCTGCAACTTGCGTTCAAAGCTCACTGGTTCGTTTGGAATTACAAAGGCTCCGAGGACGGTCTCCTTACTTTCGTCCTCCGCGAGAATTACTTTGTATAAGTGTGTTGGTACTGCAACGTTGTTCGTGCCTATCACCTAAGGAAATAAAACAAAGCAAATAAAAAAGCGTGGCTGTCTAAATTATTGGAAACTAGACGGAAAACAGTGGCGTTTTTCACTCTTCTGGACTGGGGTAACAGGGCTTTCTGGATCTCAGTAACTCCAACAACTCAAACATCTGGCTTCAGTATTTTAATTATTATTTCACCATTCATGGGTGACCATGCATATGAGACCTCTTTGCATGTAGCAGTAACTTTACTTGATACCTTTATTCTGCTGCACAAACCTGCTTCAACTTGTCAATCTGTGGATGAAATCCTGCTGCATGACCGTTCAAATGAAACCTGTGCTGCAGTACTTTCACATGGGAGCACAAAATGAATTTACTTTGTATTTTTTTTCCTTGAGCACTAATTTTTGGAACCATTGGCCGAGAGTAAAAGTTTGGCTCAGCCAAAGAAATCAAATTAATACGTGAAATGTTTCAAAACGATTGAGACACTGAACAGACCTCATATTTGACTATCTTCTTTCCATCTTCTTGTTTTGGTAAATAGAGTGGGCCAGACACAATATATACACTGGAGTATCTCTTTGTAAGACCCCTACAGTATGCTTCTAGTCTATACCAATAGTTAGCATTGTTGTCCAGATCTTGAGGTACAATGTTTGACAAGAAGAATGTTGCATCCATAGCTTCTTGGTTAAACTTGTTGTTGCCTGAAAATAAGAGAATATATTTAAGAGGAAAATGCAGGTTGAAGACTACATCACCCTGTCAAGGAGTCAATCAAAGAATCTATTCCTCATTGATAATCGCACAACTGCTGTTGTTTTAGCATAAAATGTGTCAGGACAGCACTGAGACTGTTAGTAGTCCCTGTTTACTCATTGGACAGCAGTGCAAGCTGAATGACCAGGCTCTGCGGAAGAGTAAATATGCTTCCCAGTTCTCCTCGTCTTACCCCCCCCCCCTCCCCCTACAAACCCCTCCGCACCAGGAATCAAGAGAACAGCTAGCAGTCTGAAGCTCAACTGCCTCTACCAAAGTTGGCCTCCATCATCTTGCTAGGTTTTTGCATCCATGGGAGGAGGCAGGAATCATCATCTAGTTTTGTGAGTGCATATGGCTTTACATTAATATGTTTACACACAAGTTCCACGCGTGACCACTATCAATTTTCGCCTGATAATATAATGTAAATAAGGCAGCAAGAGAAAAGGTCATGAAAATCAATAGACTGATCACCAAAGAGAAAATGATTTGATCTTTTATCAAATTCTCTCAACTTATTCTTTAAGGAGTTGTATAGAGATCAGTCCGGAGAATTGAAATGTGGATATTGGGGTAGTGCTTATTTAGTAGAAAGGGGTACCAACTTGCAGGAGCCATGTGACCTCTTGACCATCCGCTGTCCCAGTAGTCGTCGTTTCTTGACTGAAAACGCGCAGGAATGTTTAAATCAGGTTTAAATGTGGAATGAGCTCGATCGGCTTCTCCTTTTACTTTGTCCCGTGTCAAATGTTCCAACACCCACCGCGGCGTTTTCTTAGCTTGATCGTAGCACAAAACGTGATTCCTGTACCGTATATAATCCGGAGACCTGTTTGGAAGGCCGTATTTGAAAACATTATCGTCCTCATCGTCAGCGATTTCCGCCAGTGTATCTAGTTTATCAAGATTTGTTTTCACTTGACGAGGATCAATAGTTCGGAGGTGATTTCCGTGCTTTAGTTGGTCGTGCCTTGCAATGATTTCCTGGATCTGCTTCTGAGTCGAAACATTCTCGCTATCTGTAGTCTCGTAATATATTTTTGTCAAACCTGCACCGACGATCAGCGCAGTGACAACGTTGCCAAGACCGCTAAACCGCGAACCAAGTTGCCTCAGCCAAGCTGCCATCTTGAAAGGAGAAGTAGAAAATACATGTAAGGTACACGAAATGTACTGTCGGAAAGAAGCCGCGGCAGTATCGCCGGCTCAGGTGTAACGCCTGTCGAAAACCGTTGATATTTTTATTTTGAGGCAACATTTACAGAGGTTTTAGTTTAGATTTTGAAAGGAATTTTCGTCCTAACAGTTTTTAAAAGCTACATTGTTGCATGTTGTTACTTGGACTGTAATGTATGATGTGGATGAGCCAATTTCAGATTACCAGAAAGTAGTTCGTGGTAAGTAAACAACAAAACAAATCAATACGGCGGGAATTAAACTTAGCTACAGCTTGTATCGAAACGTCGATTATTTAAGCTTTTTTAAAATAGGTTAACAGTAAATTAATGTTGTAATGTTGTTTGCTCGCTAGTTTTAATTGAATTCTTTTGTTCTATAACTCTCTTATTTATATCTGTAATCAAGTACGGTGTTGAGTCTTTTGTCATATCAGATGCAAGCTTTTAATATATTCTTAGCTGCTAGCACTACAGGCATAGCCTTAACATATTCATAGTTACTTGAGATAATTCTTTCGGATGGAGACTTTGTAACGGCCGTTACTCCGCAATGAGTCTGGTTGATTACTTTTTTTTAAAGTTTTTTAAGTGGACATTCACCAGTTAAAAAAACACTCCATGTTTAAGACATTTATTCACTGATGCCTGGAAATGTATTTGAATATATTTTGTCAAATAGCGCTAGCCGTAGATTAAAAACTTGTCAAAGGTTATAGAGCTTATTCTAATGCCCACACTTCTAGTATTAATCAAGCATTAAGAACCGAAAGAACTGAGGATTGGGAATGTACACTGTATGCTGATCACGACTCTCATAAATGTGAGATAAAATCCTTCTGTGTTGGTTTTAGCAATGTTATGGAGTTGTCATGCAGAAAAAGTGTATACTTTGTTTAATATTCTTGAACAATCTAATCTGTAATTATTTTTT